ACCACTCATCCACACACACTCAAACAAGCAACCACATTCACACACACCTAGACACACATAACGCTTATATGAACATGCTTTCCCAGATAACTAGATGGTGGTGTCGGGATCTAAGTTTGTTATAAAGTTACGTAGCTTCCTCTTAATGAGTTGTAGGTTTTTGATTTCATGTAACTGAGGAGGAAGCAGTTAAGCCCAAATTTTTGGTCCAGTAGGTTTAATACTTGATGAAAATAATTTAATACGGGTTCTATGTGTGTAAAAGAATAATTGGGTGTGCCTTGTATGAGCAGATAGAATAGAATTGCTTGTTGTGTAAAGGTCGTCTAGAGGAGTAGAGAGAAGTTTATTAATAAATTTGAAAACAAGTATGGCTGGGAAATAATAATATATAAACCTTAATGATAGGATATTGTTATTTACAAAAAAGGGTTTAGTATGGGCAAAAGGATTAGTATTAAAGATAAGACGTCTTGAGCGTTTTTGAGAGAGCGTAATGTTGTACAAGTGACTTTTAGGACTGTTTCCCCATACAGTTATGCAGTAGGTAAGATGAGGATAAATAAAAGCGTAGTAAAGGTTTAGTAGAGCAGACTGAGAAAGTTTGTATTCTTTTTTGTAGAAAATTCCAATTATCAATAGTTTATTGACCTTTAGGGAAGTTGATTGCACAAATTCTCCACTCCATTTGTATGCACTACGTTTACGGCCCGGAATGTAATGGAGTGATTTACGGTTTGGTGGGCTAGACCGGTTACGGCTGTTATACTGTTATAAGCAGCCCATTGATCCGTCCAAACTTGTACCTAAAATTATTAAAATCGAACTATATTTCATAACCAACAAAAATGAATTGGAAAATATTAAACTTTATGAAACCAACCGGGCAGAACATGTCGCTGTATCAATGGCAACAGCGTGGCAGCATCTCGTTTATTTACTTCCACCAGAAAGGCATCTTTTGTTTGCGTATCGATGCCTCCAAGAACCCTGCGTGTCCTAACTGGACGTGCATTTCGGTTCCTCGATCTTTTTGCAGATGAAATGCAGCTTTCATCTATCTGAACGATGTGTCCGGGGCCACCTACTCGTGCAGGGTTATCACGAGCCCAGTCAATGCATAGATCTCGATGTAAATTAAACCAGTCAGATAATGTGTGCCCGACGTCCAAATCTAAAATCGACGCAACCATTGCCTGGCTAACGTCGTACATAGACCAGAAATACGTCATCTGTTTGAATTTAAAACAATTCGCATCATCATTCTTAAAGAAATTAAATTTTTTATAAACAATGGAAAAAATCTTACCAAAATACAATTTGTAAGGGATAATTGGCTATGGCTGTAGAAACTTCCATGCCTAATTGTTTTTGTAGCGCGGCACCTGGAGTTTCTAAACCTCCACAAGTAACCATCTGCCGTTAGTGCACTTTCTGCAAACCTTTTGTTTTATTATTTTTGAAAAAAAATCAAAATCTGACAAAACGAGAAAACTGTACAGCATGCAAGACAGTAGTATGAAATGATAACAAAAAGTAGTTAACGGAGAAAAAACGTTTTAAGCTTGAAAAGTATGCAAACCTCATGTCTGCAAGACAGCGGCATGACATCGTGGCCGCTATCAAACCATGCTGTTCTTCATGCATCTTCTTACTTTAAAAAATAATCTATCAGTTCTAAAAATTTCTTTTCTTCAACTGATGGGTATGCAGCCATTTTTAACGTAAATAAGCGATAAATTTTTATTAATGAAAAATATAAATAAATGCAATTGAAGAATAGAAGAGAAAATACTTAAAACATTTTAAAATATAAGATAATATATTTGTTAAATAATTTACAATAAAATTACAATAAATTTTTAGAAACTTGCTTCCAGAGGTAACTTGCCCGTTGAAAAAAATTTTCAATGTTAAAACGCTGGTAGGGCGCTTCCAGTTATATAATTCCATGATTTTTACTTCATAATCGGCGGATAGATCTATTTAGTTTTAGAAATTGAACTATAACATTCTGTTGTATGAATTATTCTTTTCTTCGTTAAACGTTTTTCATTCATGTTTTTCAATTTCAAAGTTATTAACATTTAAAAATTAAAATTCTTCAAAAAACCCCTTATTTTTTAATATTTTTACTTCATAACCGGCGGGTAGATCCATTGAATTATATATATAATATATATTATATAATTCCATGAAGCTAATTGATTGATTGATTGAATTGATTGTACATTAATTTTAGTGTTTGTGTTTAAATTCTTTTTTTTTATTATTACAACTTCTTTGCTTCACTTTTCCTCTTTCCTTTTACCGCTCGTGTTAGTGGTTTGGTGGAGTAGTAAACACTCTATTTTTTCTATTATCATACCTGATTCACAAATTTTTAACTTATTAATAAGTTTTGTAGCACAGAGTTTATTCTTAATTCTAGCATGTCTTTCCTCAGATTAACAATCGATCAATCAATTCATTGGAGACAGCAAAAAAAGAATTTCAAAAACCTCAGGTTCATTTTGTTTTATTTATAGTTTATATTTAATGATGTATTAACTGAGCTATCTGATTTCATTTATGTAATACATTTCGAAGAAGTTGTATATCAACTATAGAAGCAGATAAATTTGGTAAGGCAAAGATTTTCAAAATAAAATCAATATTTAGAAAAAAAAGCTTATTGGAGTGATGCAGTTGTAACACTTTTATCAACTACAGGCTATGTTTTGAGCTAAATGCTGTGGGTTGATTAGATGAAAAGGTTGGTAAACAAGTATGAAATCACACTTTCTGTTGTTTACATAGAATAGTATAGAAAACTTTAAATTTGGCTCCATCCTTTATTAATATTCATGACCGACCGAACCGCTTTATTTTTTTCAATTTGTGATTTTTTTAACCGAATTGTTTCATTTTTTTATATTTGTAATTTTTAATAAAATTCTAATATCATTATTTATTATTTTTAAAATATGTTAAAAACATGAGAACTATTTTATTTGCACATTATATTTTCATATAAAAAAAAGACCGAAGTATCCTCTATTAATTATCGTTAGTTAATAAAAAAAATACAAAAAAGTTTCAAAATTTTAAACCACGTTATAATGTCGTTTAAGTTCCAGGGCTTTTTGGAACCGCTTTTTTCTGTCTCCTATGGTGCGCAGCCACATAAATTCGTCTAGCTACGATTGTATGTGAGCATCGCACGTACCATTCATTTTCTTAAATTTTTGTTTGGCGCATTGCCACAAATTCTCCACTCCATTTGTATGCATTCCGTTTACGGCCCGGAATGTAATGGAGTGATTTATGGTTTGGTGGGCTAGACCGGTTAAGGCTGTTATTCTGTTA